ACAAGCAAGTGATTATAGACTCATTCAAGCACTGCACATCGACCGTCGCAATGGATGGTGGTGAAGATTCATTACCTAAAGCCCAACCAACCTTGTGCAGCAGCACAACCATATATTACTAAATAACACATCATGTCTGACCACAATTTGGGAAAAGTTAAACAAGTGTCCCCCTGAATCGTAAGTGCCTCCCTTGAATAAGCACCCCCCATCTTCTTCTAAATTTGAAATAAGCATCCCAAGCACTAATAATTTTATTTACAGTATGGCTAAAAGTAAAGTGACCCTGAGCTTTGTGCATTCATACAGCTGTAGTATTGAAATTTTCTGCTTTTTGTTCAACAAAATGATCCTTTGTGAGCCTACAACTACGTTTAAAAATAATACACTGATGAAATTCAGAGAAAAATAGACAACACTGTGCACACGAGCCACCTTAAATATCTTTGACTTGAAAGATGTGCCACTTTTATTTTTCTCTATTTTGCTCTTAAATTTCAAATGATTTTTAGAATCGCTCAACATATTTTCCACTGACCTGAGCAAAAAATTCAACTGGGTTTTAGAATTGCTCAGCATATTTCCATTGACCAAGCAAACATAAAAGACCCTCAACAAGTTTTAATCACACTTTCCACTGGAAATCTGTGATATACTCTGACTGCCGAATTTACTATATTTTAGGCTGCTCCCAGCTGCTTGATTTACAGTCATTGTGTTTCTACAAACTTCCCAAGGAATCTTCTGAACGACAATTCAGACCCCATTTGTAAACCTTAGAGCTTAGGATAAAGGTTCCCCTGAGGGCTGTGCCCACACTTTGCCTCAAAACGCCAACTAATCAACTTCTACAACAGATAAGACAATCACAGGAGACTGTTGAACCACAGGGGACTCGAACGCTTTATCAGCAACAAAAATAAATGTGCTGTTATTTACCTGCGTTCCTGTGTCTTTTTGAGTCGTTTAGAAGGGATTTAAATGAAGTGAAGGCGGTTTACATCACAGGGGGCCCATACAAGCGGCATATCTGTTTGTATGTCGAAAGATCTTCTTAGAATTTTAGATTTTAGTTAGGTATAAATTGTACTTTAACGCTTGTAATTTTTAACCTATAACTTAGTTTTTTAGAATTGTAGTTTTTAAGCTGTAATTTTCACTTTTAGCGTGTAACGTTTATTTTTTACGTATTTTAATTGTAATGTGCATTTGAACATATACGTATGGAGTTTGTGCACAACAAATTCATAATTATTATAATATAAAGAAATGTATGGGAATATTGAAGAGAGAAAAAATATTGAAGAGTAAACTTATATCGAATAATGTCTATGTTAAAGCTCAAAATAAACGTACATGTAAACCTACCTCAGTTGTTGGGTATGCTGTTTGCTCCACATTGATTGGATGATGTTAAACAATGCATCCAATCAGTGTGGAGCAAACAGTGTGACTGTTACTCCTTTACACAGGAAATCTCAGCCGCAGGTGCTGGTTCCTTTGAAAGCTGCATTTCTTGAAAATTACTTGGCAGTTAGCACTTGATTTTGAATGGATCTTCGATTGAATGCCAGGAGAAGAAGCGTCAACCTTTCAGTTTATCTGGTGTTCGATTAGGAAGCCAGGTGATTCTAATTTCTACGTGAAAATCAGCTTGGCGCTGGAGCTGTCGAAAATGAGCTTTCCACACTTGTCTCTTTCTTATAACGTGTACTAACAGTCAATGCAAAACCCACCAATTCGCTCAAATTTGCCATTTTGAGCTGCAGAAACGACAATACACAACAACTGAGGTAGGTTTATGTTTATTTTGAACTTTAACATAGACATTACTCAAATAAGTTTACGATATTAAGACTCTTCAATATTCCATACATTTCTTTAGATTTCGAACATACAAACAGACACGCCGCTTTAATGGACCCCTGTGTTTACATTTCCGAACATTATCTCCTCTGCTGCTTTGTAATAATTATGACGCTCCGATTACGTCTCAAGTTTTGAGTAATGTCATTAACTATTAACTCTCATTTTCTCTTTTCTCTTTTATCGAACGGCCGTTGTGAAACCTGAGAATCTCTCTCCCGACGGGAGTTGATAGTTAATAATGTTACTCGAAACTTAAGACATAATCGGAGCATCATAATTACAAAGCAGCAGAGGAGATAATACTCAGAAATGTAAACCGC